TGCTTGAAATATAATGTTTGTACAAACAGACTTAGCCTTAATCTGTCGGTTAAGGCGTCTGCCTAGAAATCAGATTCTCTATGGCAGCATAGGTTCGAAACTGCAAACGACCATTGTTTTGCTTGAAATATAATGTTTGTATAAACAGACTTAGCCTTGGTCTGTCGGTTAAGGCGTCTGACTAGAAATGAGATTCTCCATTGCAGCGTAGGTTCGAAACCTACCTACTGCAAACGACCATTGTTTTGATTGAAATTTAATTTTTGTAATTAGCAGGTCAGCCAAGAAAATTTTGTCAATTATGGGGATTGAGTGCATAAATTTATAACAATATAATGCCCTTATATTTCAAATGGCATATCACCAGAAATAGTTCTACTTGCAAACAGATTTAGTCCTGGTCTGTCGGTTGAGGCGTCTGACTAGAAATCAGATTCTCCATGGCAGCGTAGGTTCGAAACCTACCTACTGCAAACGGCCATTGTTTTGCTTGAAATATAATTTTTGTAATTAGCAGCTCAGCCCAAAAAAATTTGGTCAATTGTGGGGATTGAGTGCATAAATTCATAAAAATATAATGGCCTTATATTTCAAACGCATGGCTCATCACCAAAATAGTTCGACTTTCAAACAGATTTAGCCCTGGTCTGTCGGTTAAAGCGTCTGACTAGAAATTAGATTCTTTATGGCAGCGTAGGTTCGAAACCTACCTACTGCAAACGACCATTCTTTTGTTTGAAATATAATGTTTGTACAAACAGAATTAGCCTTGGTCTGTCGGCTAAGGCGTCTGACTAGAAATTAGATTCTCTATGGCAGCGTAGGTTCGAAACCTACCTATTGCAAACGACCATTGTTTTGTTTGAAATATAATGTTTGTACAAACAGACTTTGCCCTGGTCTGTCGGCTAAGGCGTCTGACTAGAAATCAGATTCTCTATGGCAGCGTAGGTTCGAAACCTACCTACTGCAAATGACCTTTGTTTTATTTGAAATATAATGTTTGTAATTAGCAGCTCAGCCCAAAAAATTTGGTCAACTATGGGGATTGAGTGCATAAATTTATAAAAATATAATGGCCTTATATTTCAAACGCATGCCACATCGCCAGAAATTATGGGGATTGAGTGCACAAATTTATAACAATATAATGCCCTTATTTTTCAAATGGCGCATCACCAGAAATAGATCTACTTTCAAACAGATTTAGCCCTGGTCTGTCAGTTAAGGCGTCTGACTAGAAATCAGATTCTCTATGGCAGCGTAGGTTCGAAACCTACCTACTGCAAACGACCATTGTTTTGCTTGAAATATATATTTTTTAATTAACAGCTCAGCTCAGAAATTCTTCTCAAATATGGGGATTGAGTGCATAAATTTATAAAAATATAATGGCCTTATATGTCAAACGCATGCCACATCACCAGAAATAGTTCGACTTTCAAACAGATATAGCCTTGGTCTGTCGGTTAAGGCATCTGACTATAAATCAGATTCTCTATCAGCATAGGTTCGAAACCTACCTATTGCAAACGATCATTGTTGAAATATAATTTTCGTAAATAGCAGCTTATCCCAGAAAATCTTGTCAATTACGGGGATTGAGTGCATAAATCTATAACAATGTATTGCCCTTATATTTCATATGACACATCACCAGAAATAGTTCTACTTTCAAACAGATTTAGGCCTGGTCTGTCGGTTGAGGCGTCTGACTAGAAATCAGATTCTCCATGGCAGCGTAGTTTCGAAACCTACCTGCTACAAACGACCATTGTTTTGCTTGAAATATAATTTTTGTATTTCGCAGCTCAGCCAAGAAAATTTTGTCAATTATGGGGATTGAGTGCATACATTTATAACAATATAATGGTCTTATATTTCAAATGGCACATCACCAGAAATAGTTCGACTTTCAAACAGATTTAGCCTTTGTCTGTCGGTTAAGGCGTCTGTCTAGAAATCAGATTCTCTATGGCAGCGTAGGTTCGAAACCTACCTACTGCAAACGACCATTGTTTTGCTTGAAATATAATTTTTGTAATTAGCAGCTCAGCCCAAAAGATTTGGTCAATTATGGGGATTGAGTGCATAAATTTACAACAATATAATGCCCCTATTTTTCAAATGGCACATCAAAAGAAATAGTTCTACTTTCAAACAGATTTAGCCCTGGTCTGTCGGTTAAGGCGTCTGACTAAAAATCAGATTCTCTATGGCAGCGTAGGTTCGAAACCTACCTACTGCGGCCATTGTTTTGCTTGAAATATATATTTTTTAATTAACAGCTCAGCTCAGAAATTCTTCTCAAATATGGGGATTGAGTGCATAAATTTATAAAAATATAATGGCCTTATATGTCAAACGCATGCCACATCACCAGAAATAGTTCGACTTTCAAACAGATATAGCCTTGGTCTGTCGGTTAAGGCATCTGACTATAAATCAGATTCTCTATCAGCATAGGTTCGAAACCTACCTATTGCAAACGATCATTGTTGAAATATAATTTTCGTAAATAGCAGCTTATCCCAGAAAATCTTGTCAATTACGGGGATTGAGTGCATAAATCTATAACAATGTATTGCCCTTATATTTCATATGACACATCACCAGAAATAGTTCTACTTTCAAACAGATTTAGGCCTGGTCTGTCGGTTGAGGCGTCTGACTAGAAATCAGATTCTCCATGGCAGCGTAGTTTCGAAACCTACCTGCTACAAACGACCATTGTTTTGCTTGAAATATAATTTTTGTATTTCGCAGCTCAGCCAAGAAAATTTTGTCAATTATGGGGATTGAGTGCATAAATTTATAACAATATAATGCCCTTATATTTCAAATGGCATATCACCAGAAATAGTTCTACTTGCAAACAGATTTAGTCCTGGTCTGTCGGTTGAGGCGTCTGACTAGAAATCAGATTCTCCATGGCAGCGTAGGTTCGAAACCTACCTACTGCAAACGGCCATTGTTTTGCTTGAAATATAATTTTTGTAATTAGCAGCTCAGCCCAAAAAAATTTGGTCAATTGTGGGGATTGAGTGCATAAATTCATAAAAATATAATGGCCTTATATTTCAAACGCATGGCTCATCACCAAAATAGTTCGACTTTCAAACAGATTTAGCCCTGGTCTGTCGGTTAAAGCGTCTGACTAGAAATTAGATTCTTTATGGCAGCGTAGGTTCGAAACCTACCTACTGCAAACGACCATTCTTTTGTTTGAAATATAATGTTTGTACAAACAGAATTAGCCTTGGTCTGTCGGCTAAGGCGTCTGACTAGAAATTAGATTCTCTATGGCAGCGTAGGTTCGAAACCTACCTATTGCAAACGACCATTGTTTTGTTTGAAATATAATGTTTGTACAAACAGACTTTGCCCTGGTCTGTCGGCTAAGGCGTCTGACTAGAAATCAGATTCTCTATGGCAGTAGATGTATAGTGCCGATATAAGCAACAGAAACCGTACATAACCTCAATTTCCTAACCCCCCCGCAGCGGGGGCCCCCCGCGCGTGGCGTCCTAGTGTCCCCCCTGTCTCCCAGAGTGCGCTCCGCCCCCCACCCAGCTTGTGTAGCGTCCTGTTTTGCCCCGGTTCCGCCCGTCGCTGCTAGATGTCGCGCGCTTGTGTAGCGTCCTGTTTTGCCCCGGTTCCGCCCGTCGCTGCTAGATGTCGCGCGCTCCGACCGTCGTAGGCCCCCCCGGTAGAGGGCGGTGACGGTGCGGCGCGGTGACGCGGTGGATCGGGAGGATAATTAAATAAACTTGAATTTTAATACATTTTATTTTATTTTATTTATAAAATTGGTCTGGCGAGGAGTTTCTTCTTCTTTTTATGTCGATTCAGTCGACCATCCCATTGTTCCTGTTCCTTGCGTTGTTCTTCTTCCCGTTCCCGGAGGAAATCTAAATACGAAGTGCACTCCTCGCCGTCCCACTCCGTCGACCACCCACCCGGGTACTCCTGCTGCTCCTTTGTTTCTTTTGATCCACCGGGTTGCTCCTGCTGCTGGTGATGTTCCCTTGTCGTTTCATGTCGTACCGGGAATTCTAACCCCCGGTACTCTTTGTGTGATTTGAATATGTGACGCCCTAAGCGATGCGCCAACATAATATGCGACTTGTCATACGGACAAACCGCGATTTTTTCTAGAACAAAACAAAGTATGATATGTAGCGTTTCCTATAAAACACACATTTTTTTTTTAAACAAAACTTCCAAAAAGGGGGGTTATCAAATAATTTTAAAAATTGTTTTTTAAGTTATACGCGCATACCAAAATTCACGTTTCAATTCACTGTCATTTAAATGTAAGTGTATTATTGTCAAAAGGGCAAACTGCAATTTTTTAGTACAAAAAATAAACAAAAATATGTATATATTTCGCGTTTTCCCCATAAAACGCACATTTTTGAAACAAAACTTTCAGTAATTTTAAAAATTGTTTATTTTTTAAAAGCCAAAATTCCCTATTCACTGTCATTTAAAAGATATTAAAAACGCTCAATTTAATTCGATTATTATTGTCAAAAAGGCAAACTGCAATTTTTTAGTACAAAAAATAAAACATTTTTGAAACAAATTTAAAAATTGTTTATTTTTTAAAAGCCAAAATTCCCTTTTCCATTCACTGTCATTTAAAAGCTATTAAAAACACTCAATTTAAATCGGTTATTATGCAACGTAAAAAAGATGAGTATCATATTTTAAAACAGGTAGAAACTAACCAAAAAAGTGATAACCCAAACTGAAACCCACAAGAAAAGACGCGCACTGTATAAAGGTAATTAAAATATAAAACTTACCAGTTGTAGGGTCGTAGGGAAATGGACATCGCACTTCTCTATTCATTGCACTGAATATAGTATATAATACACATGCAACGTATTTATACACATGCACTCCCTTCCATGGTTGAATTAAAAGTCGAAAGGTCTTCTACCCACAAGCACCAACGCCGATTTGAATAGACGCGATGTTGTCGCCAGACAACCGTGCAGGTAGGAGTCTCAGGGTCAACACGCTTTCACACGGGAACGCAACCGTTTCGGACGTTGGACGAACGTATGTTGCCGCAAAAGATCAAGGCCAACTTGCTTTCATTTTTTACAATCTCCGTATGGGATGTGGAATTTCAAAACGCGCCGAGTCTAAATGTCAAGTTGTTTTGCTTGTTGAGAATAATAATTAATTGCCCCCTTTATATTTGCTCCGTGGGATTAACGTAATGGGAAAAATTTGTTGCAACGCATGTGGAGGTGTCTTCGTTTGTTAACTTTTAGAAAGTATTCTCGCACCGTATAAATACATCTCATTTTTCTCTGTTTTGTCAGTAGTTGTTTTTGGTATTATTCGTGCAACGTGGAAGCTAACTTAGTGGTTTGGTGTTCGTACAAAAAAGCAGTAAGTACCTTTTTTATTGTCTTATTTTAATTCTTTAACATTTGTTATTATTTTATAAAGTTCCTAAAGATCATCTTAGTACTCTCAACCCGTAACCGCAAATAGAATAGCAGCAATCTTAAGCGTAAGTTTTTTTTATTTTTTTAATTTTGAGATAAAATAATTAATAATAATTTATAGATGGACTTAAGTCAACTGAATCAAACCTGTCTTGCAGAAGGTGATTTTGAGCAGCCGATTGTCAAACTGCATGAATTGCCGATAGGCGTTCCGTTTAAAATTACTAGAGCCAAAATTGTTAATACAAAATTTGGCAATTCCGTGTTGCTGCAATTAGAAAATTCCGTAGTATTTCTTCCTACTCGCGTGACAGAAGCTTTCCGTCCGAGACTAGAACACTTTGCGTCGGGGCAGTACAAACTGGTCTACGAGGGATCCAAAGATATTGGAAAGCCCAACTCTTTAAAGAAATTCAAAATAATTCAAAATTAATCAACATATTATACAGGGTAAGTCTTATTTACTGTTATATATTTAATAAACCACGATGCGCGTAAAGCAGATCATTCATAGAGCGCAAATCTTAATTTTAACCTTACAAAAATTAAAAAAGCATATTTCCGACAAGTTCACTCTTAGAGATAGTGATGTGTGGCTTAGGAGACTAAATAAAAATATTGAATCTTGCAACCAAATCGTTTCTAACGAAAAGGATTTCTCTATTGGGTTAAAAAGAAAATTACAAACTACAATTCAACATCTGAAAGCTATTAGAAAAATTATTCTTAATTATCAACATAAGCATTTTGGATTGGGATTACAAAGTAGTAGCCGCGAGACAAACACAAATGAAATGGTTGTATGGGAATCGGTAGCGTCGTGTTTCCAGGGAAGAGTTCAGACCGGTGTCATAATTAATTTACTTCATAAAGATTTAATTCAATTTTTAAACGATTCTCGTCCAATATTTCAACAAAAAATTAGTCAAATTTTAAAGAAATTTTTATTGCTGAAAGTAAATACCACATTTTGCGGTGAATTTATTAAGGCAAAAAATGATGTCCAAGGCGAAGTTGATGTTAAATATCTGAGTACCGGAAATGCTGTAGTTGATTTAGGAACAGAATTGAATGATTGGTTTGTTGAAAATGTGCAAGATAAAATTTTAAATCAAATGTCAGAGTTTCAGGAACGTGATTCCGGGTGGGCTTTAAATAATATTATTTATTTAGAGATTAACATTAATAAATTTGAAATGGGTAACGGGTCATCCTTCGTTGAGTTGCCTAAAGAAATTGCGAATAAAAGGGCTTGTATTAACATTAGAAATGACGATCAAGCGTGTTTTTATTGGTCAGTTGTATGCGGACTCTTTCCAGCACGTTTTCGTCAGTATTTACCCTCTTCATATCCATACTACAAAAGTGTTTTGAAAACTGAAAATTTACAAACACCTATGGAAATGAATAAAATAAGCAAATTTGAAAAAGACAATGATATTTCCATCAATGTTTATATCTTAGAGCTTAATAAAAATGAAAAAACTAGTTTTTATTCCGTGTTACCTGCACGATTAACAAAAGAAAAACGCGAAAAACATTCAAATTTGTTGTTAATACAAAATAAATATTATCCAAAAGTTAATGATTTTGATCCTGATCCGCAAGATAATGATTATGAAGAAATAAAATATCACTATTGTTACATTAAAAATTTGTCTCGATTAGTTTCCTCACAGCTCAGTAAATATAATCACAAGAAATACATTTGCGATAGGTGTTTGAATTATTTCAATAACGAAACTCGTCTACATGACCACGAAACAATATGTTCCAGTTTCAATGAGTATAAAGTGTCTTTTCCCAAATATGATTACGTTGAATTTCGAAACCATATATATAAACAAAGGACTCCGTTTGTAATTTACGCCGATTTTGAGAGTCAATTGAGAAAAGTAAATTTGAAAATTTCAGATAAAACCTCGAAATACCAAAAGCACGAAGCTTACAGTGCTGCATATTACTTTAAATGTTCTTATGATGATTCAATATCATTTTTCAAAAGTTATCGTGGTCTAGATTGTATTGATTGGTTCGTGGAGGAAATATCTAATTTATCAAAATTTGTTCGTTCAAAATTTAAGGATATTATACCAATGGATAGTGAAATTAGTCTAGATCAAAGGTCGAGTCATTGTCATATTTGTGAAAAACCTTTTTTAAAAGAAGATGTTATTGTTCGTGACCATGATCATTTTACTGGTAAATTTAGAGGTTTTGCCCATCAGGCTTGTAATTTAAATTTTAAAAAAATATTTGTAGTGCCCGTAGTATTCCAGAACCTTTCTGGATACGATAGCCACTTCCTGCTTCCGGTTTTAGCAAAAAAAAGCTATGTATCCATAGTTCCGGTTAATAAGGAAAAATACATCTCTTTTACATATTTCGAACCTGATTATAACATAAAATTTAGATTTATAGATTCGTTTAGATTTTTGGGAGCATCTCTGGATAATTTAGTTTCCAGTATGGATAAAAATGAACTATATATTTTAAGAAAAGAATTTTCCGATCTCGACGAATCAAAATTAAATTTACTGTCGCAAAAAGGTATTTTTTGTTACGATTACATCGACCATATAGACAAATTAAATGAAACAACTTTACCCCCGATTGAAGAATTCTATAATAAATTAAGTGAAAGCAATATTAGTGAAGAAAAATATTCCCACGCACAAAGTGTTTGGCAGTCGTTTGAAATAAAAAATTTAGGCGAGTATTCAGATTTGTATTTAAAAACCGACGTTATTCTTCTGGCAGATATATTCGAAAATTTTCGAAAAACTTGTATGGCAACACACGTTTTGGATCCGGCGTGGTATTTCAGTATGCCCGGGTATACATGGGATTGCATGCTTAGATTCACAAAATGTCGTTTAGAACTTTTGCGCGACATTGACCAAATTATGTTTATCGAGCGGGCTATACGAGGTGGAATTTCGGTGTGTGTTGGTAGATATGCGGAGGCCAACAATAAATATATGCCCAACTACGATTCATCCAGGGATGATTCCTATATCATGTACTTTGACGTCAATAACCTCTATGGCAAGGCCATGTGCGAGCCTCTTCCTTACGGAGGATTCGACTGGATGTCTCATCAAGAGATTGATTCATTTAATGTCATGAACATTCCAGATGAATCTTCCCAAGGATATATCCTAGAGGTAGACCTGGAATACCCGCAGAAATTACATGACACACATAGAGATTTTCCATTTTGTGCCGAACATCGAGTGCCCCCCAATTCAAAGTTACCAAAACTAATGACTACTTTGTATAATAAAGAAAAATACGTCATACACTATCGCAATTTAAAACAGGCTCTCAAAAACGGTCTCGTACTAAAGAAAATTCACAAAATATTAAAATTTAACCAATCTCGTTGGTTGAAATGTTATATCGATCATAATAATAAATTAAGAACCCAAGCAAAGACAAAATTTGGTATAAATTTATACAAATTGTTTAATAATGCCGCTTACGGTAAAACAATGGAAAACATTCGCAAGCATCGTATTGTTAAATTTGTTAAAGCGTGGGATGGTCGCTACGGTGCGAAAAATTTAATTTCTAGTCCTAGATTTCACAGTAGAACCATACTTGATAACAATTTGTTGCTTATAGAATTAAAAAAATCGGAACTTTGCTTTAATAAGCCACTTTATATTGGAATGTCCATATTGGATTTGTCGAAAACGACCATGTACGAGTTTCATTATAATTACATGCTTCCAAATTTGGGTCCCGAAAAATGTAAAATTCAATACATGGATACGGACAGTTTCATTTATAATATCAAATGTTATGACGCATATGAAAGCGTTATTAAGGCCGATTTAACAAAATTTGACACGTCTGATTATCCTAATGACAATCCCTATAATATACCGCAAATCAACAAAAAGGTTTTGGGGTTGATGAAGGATGAGACTAATGGCACCATCATTAGTCATTATGCTGGGTTAAGGTCGAAAATGTATACTTTCAAAATTTTAACGGGTTCGGTAGTTAAAAAGTCAAAGGGTATTCAGTACAATATTGTAAAAAATAAAATTTCATTTGATGACTACGTAGAATGCTTAACAAATTTTAGGGAAAAGTACGCCACTCAACGAACCATTCGTTCATACACTCACAATGTATTTAGCATCGAACAAACAAAAGTTGCCTTGAGTCCTTTAGACGATAAACGTTATCTTTTGCCGAATTCATATGAAACGCTTCCGTGGGGACATTATAAAGTGCCGTAATTATTTTTTAATATATTTTTGTTACAGATTATGGTCAAGCAACTTACATTAGAAAGCCTTTGTATTATAACAATTTGCGAAAATATTAGGTGTAGTGCTGATTTTTTGCTTGAGTCACCTTTGCCTTGGAAACTAACGATACTAATATTTAAATATTATTCGAAATATAGATGGAGGTACCTTAAACAACTAGCGCTCCAGTCTGATGGCAATTCTTTATTAAATTTAGAATTCATTCTGTTGAATAAGAGATTTGGATCGTCTTACAGAAATAGCATTTTGGCAACTCCAACCATTGATTTTGACGGAGAATCCGCTTACTGTTTATGGGTCAGTTATTACAGGATAAAATATTCGGAAATTTTAGTTTGTAAATCTTGTCACTTTATATTTCAAGTAGTTAAAAAATTTAAAAAGAAAAATTTTAGACTTTTATTGGATCACTATCATTTACAGCTGGATATAAATAATTTGAATGATGTATATCACGATAAACAATTTTGGTGTCAAAGCTGCTTTGAAGAAGTTTTGTTCACTGTAGAAACTGAAGATGAATGTAATTTAATGCTTCACGATGAGAGAAAATATGGAAAAAAGTTACGCTTTTCTGATAGCACATTGAACTATTAATACTGTGGTTTTATTATAACATATGTAACTGTAGATAAGGCTTTTATGTATTGATTGTATGCCATTGTATTGCAACAAGAATAAACATGTATATATTTAGACGCTATTTTCTTTTTTACCACCACCACAACACCGCATAATAATTACACAGAAGTTTGTAATTGTATAATTTATTTATTATATACATTATTACTATTTTACAATTTCGTTAAATGCTAAATTATTAAATTGTTCTAGTTTTCTTTTGCACTCTTGAGCTTGCATCCGCGCCACTTGCAAGTCTGTATTAAAAAGCGCAATTTGTGTTTCAATTTCGTTGATATTGCACTCTAATCCCGACAACTGAGACGCCAAGTTTCTTTTTAAATTGAATGCCTCACAAATGACACTTTTTTCTCTACCGTCCGTGAACACTTCGAGCCAATCAGCGGATGACGTTGGAGCTGCAAACGCTTCACTTGTGGTAGTTTTCTTCTTCTTCTTGCGGGATACGACCGACGCACTTTGTTTTCGTTTGGTCGCAGATTTTTTGGTTTGTTGCTCTACAGGAACGAAGCTGGACGGGAGCACTTCTGATGAAGGAAATTGCAACTCGAAATTTTCCAATAAATTATACAATTCGTTGGATGTCACAATTTTCTCTTGAGCCATCATATACACGTATTTATGTCAGAACTTCTAAATCGAGACTAAATTTATTTCAAAACGTCTACGTTGTCTACCCACGAATCGTGCGACTTATCCAATCCCAACCAGCGCACGAGAACCATATTGCCTCGTCTGCGCAACACCTTTTCGACGAGATATAAGTCCGGGTTAACTGTCTTCTGCAATTCTTCTTCATAAAATCCGCCCATTATGGGTTTACCCTGCATATCTTGAAGCAAATACGTTACGGGGTTAGTAACCCGTACTTTAACAATTTTAAACAATTCCGTGGTCCAATTCGGTGTATAACCTTTGTTGAAAACGTGCTTGACTTTGCTGATTCTAACGATGTCGCCGACTTTAAGTTTACGAGGACCGAATATTTTTATGCTACTATACGCGGTTTTCAAAATTCTCTTTTCGTTGCTCTTACTCACATCGATGGGTTTCGTACCCGTCGTTCTATGTTTTGTGTTATTGTATTCATCAACGATAGAGGCGAGCACATCGATCCATTTGTACGTCCCGCGTAAAGAAAAATGTCGAAACAATTTCTCTTTGAGGGTACGTATCACCCGTTCGACAATTGAGGCCTTTTTTATGCTATACGTACTATAGTGGTTAATTTTATGCTTATCCACAAGTTTCAGAAACGTGTCGTTGTAAAATTCTTTACCGAGATCCGTTTGCAAGTTTTGAGGGTGCCGTCCGTCCTTGAGAATTTTGGAAAACGCCTTGGCGACTTCGACCCCGGTTTTGGTTTTCAACGGGCGACACCATACATATTTTGAGAAACAGTCTATCACAACCAGCACGAATTTAAAATTTCTGTTTTGTTTGCTGTAGCGATCTAATTGGGCCAGATCCGCTTGCCACAGGTCATCCATCCCTCGTATTATAGTCCGGCGGCGAGCATAATTTCTGCGTGCCGGCTTGTGCAGTTCTCGAACCAGTTGTACCTTCTCTTTATTCATAATGTGTGTTCGGTTGCGATGGAGGATTTAAAACCCTTTGTTTCAATACCTTCATTATATTCTCATTTTCGTTCGTAAGTCGCTCCATTTTGGTTACAATATCATGAAATTGCTGTGACAAAACGGCGACTTTTGTCATGTGCTTTTCCAAATCTTTCTTTGCGCTCATTTCGCTTAGCTTTTGGTGGAAAACTTCGCGAAACTGCATAATTTCATTTTCGAGTGTAGTGCTACTCATTTTCAGTTGTTCTTCAAGACGCGAGAATTTAGTTTTGTCTTCAATTTGTAATCTTTTCGTGTACGCTTCGAGTTTCTGTCCAATAATCTTTCTCAATGCAATTTTTAATAAATTACTTGTCTCATCCACATATTTTTTGTTAGCCACGTCACCGTCATCGCTAGGCGTTTGGACATTGCAAATTTTTAAATTGTTCATATTGACGTTTCCGTCTGGCATATAGTCGAGGGCGCTTCTAATCACAGTATTAGTGAAGGGTCGTTTAGAGCGCAGCGCGCTAGAACGTCCAAACTTGTCCAGACTCATCGTTAAACTAACGTATAAAACCTGATTCTTTTAGCTCTTCAACGATTGAAACTATTTCGTTATCATGAGACGTGTTGCCTGCGTGTTTCGACGCGATTAGTAATTTCAGACGCTCTACGAGTTCATTGACGTCGTCCCAGTATACATATTCAGTAGGAGCGTCATTATAACGCATATTATAACCTTGACCGCTGTACGAGTACGAACGCGACTGAGATTTTATTAAGGGTCGGATGACCTTGGTATATTTTGGTACAGTCGATGCGCCTTTCAGACGTCCGATCGCGTCCCTGTGCACCTGGGTAGCCTCCATTATTTTTTTATATTGTGCCAAATCGTCTTTTGTGTATGCTATGGGATCTTTTAAAAACACCAAATTATACAAGCCGCGGGTACCGGAATATCTCTCGCCGTCTACAATAATATCGCCAGATCCTTGATGAAAATCCAGCGATTTATTGCCGAGAAACCATTTGGATGATATTTTGTCGTAAACGGGTCCGTAAACAATATCGGTGTCGGGCGATTTTACCCATAAATTTTGAATATATGAATGGGAAATTTCTGGATATTGTTCCAGGTATGATTGAAGGGATGCGTTGGCCACGCTCGATGTGTCAAACACATCATCTTCCTCCTCATCGATATTTTGCATCTCAACGCTCTTATTGGGATCCGGCGTTTCCTGAATTTCTTCCATAGGCAAAAATGATACGTTAACCTTATTTTTTGTTTCTTCGTTCGGTTCCTTTTTGTGTTCCCGCTTGACACCTCGACGTTCAGTTTTTATTTCTGCCGGTGACGGTGATAGCTTTATTTTTGCTATACGTTCTAGCGGCTCGCTGACGGGTTTGAAAAGCTTCCGAATTGACGCATCCTCTTCGCTCTTACCCAATTTTAATGTTAAATACTTCTTTCGAATAGATCTAGACAACTCGTTTACTTTTTTTTTTAGCGCCGCGTCGGCGATGTCGGCGGACGTCGCCTTCATGACTGTTTCTATCGACAATTAAATATCGACTTTTATATATTTGTCGAAACCCTTGCGGTAGCGTCCGTTTTTTACGTCGAAATCTTTGACAATTATCAAACAGCCGTACTTTTCTTTCCAGCACTCGGAACAAATTTGTTTAAACGTGTCGTATGAAACGTCGGGTGAGACATGTTCATCATAAACGTGACGTAAATTCATGTCATCCTGTTTAAACAACGCGACAATATTGCAATTGTCACGTATCAATTGCTTGGGTACCTTGGAGTATGTCTGACAGAGATAAATAGCGTCGATGGCCTTGTGTCGGCACATCGAAAAATACTCGCGAATTTTATCTTGCTTGTCGCACGCCACGTCGTCGAAAATAAACAGAGAATTCTCTTTCGCGTCGCTGGGGTCGATTATCGAGTCTCTTTCACTGTAGGGATAATATCCAACTCCTTTGACATTGCTCAATACGCGAGATAACAGTTGATATTTTGGTTGATACAACGACTTTGAGTAGACGTAAACATTTTCGAAACTTGCCCCGTTGGGGTTAAAGAGTAGCGCTAACATGGTGTTGGTTTTGCCGCAACCGCTAGGTCCGCAAAACACCGCCCTAAATGAATTGGGTAGCAGTTGACCGTGTTTGCTTTTGTTAAAGAAACCATCTCCGCAAACCAAATCTAAATTATCGATGGGGAGCTTGAGTTTCTGCTGCACCACCCGCATGACTACAATGTTTATTCGAGACACCTCGTATATATATACGACACAAGCAATTTCCTTTAATTAGTATGTTATGCTTCGCGTCCGGAAGTGGTCTCGTTAACACGCTTATTAACAAGTTACCTTTTGAAGTACACATTCCGGGTTACCAGTTTTGCGGTCCCGGTACAAAATTGGAAAAACGCTTGAACCGAGGCGATAGCGGGGTGAATCCTTTGGACGCTGCGTGTAAGGTACACGACATTGCCTATTCGCAAAATAAATCGTTAGACGAACGTCATAAAGCGGATAAAGAATTGGAAACGCGTGCGTGGCAGCGAGTAAAATCTAAAGACGCAAAGTTTGGTGAAAAAGCTGCCGCATTCTTTGTCACCGCGACTATGAAAACTAAACGTAAGCTCGGTATGGGTCAACAACGGCGTCCCTCTGTTTCGTTTCGACAGGGTGTCGTGAAAAAGGTTCGCAATGCATTAAAGAAGAAACAATTGTTTCATATCGATAACCCTAAAATGCTTAGAAGATCGGCACTGGAAGCGCTTCGAGCTGGCAGAGCCGCTGTAAGAAAAGCGGGAGGACGTAAAAAAATTAGGCTACCTAGAATTATACCGTTCGAATCAAAATCGGGCGGTATTTTACCACTTTTACCGTTATTAGGAGCGCTAGGGGCTTTAGGTTCGCTCTCGGGCGGAGCCGCTGCTATCGCTAAAACTGTCATCGATGCGAAAAACGCACGAAAGAAACTCGAAGAGGACAACCGCCATAACCGAGCTATGGAAGAGATTGGAAAAAAGGGATCGGGTCTATTCTTGAAAAAGAGTCCGCGCGGCGGATTCGGTCTTTATCTGAAGAAACAAAAAAACTCCCAATAAAGCTACCCAGAAGGGCTCTATACGACGTCGATTTAATATCTCTGGCGCGCAAATTAAAAATTCCTCACTTCAGGGGTGTTTTTATGCGAGATAGTTTACCCCGTCGAATCAGATCGCAAGAATGCGGAATCGTAAATTTGGATGTTCGTCGAAATAGAGGAACCCACTGGGTAGCATACAAAAAGAGGAAGGGAAACGATGTTGAGTATTTTGACAGTTTCGGTAACCTTAAACCACCCGCAGAACTTGTTAAATATTTCGGCAACAGCGCCAATATCTACTATAATCACGATAGATATCAAAAGTTTACGCAATACAATTGCGGTCATTTGTGTTTGCAATTTCTCTATAAAAAGGACTGAAATCGCGGACCTATAAGCAGTCAACATGTCGATCATATTTACGTTAAAAGGGAACACGTCGACATTATCCATCGACTTTGTCAATCCGCTGCAGTTGGATGAAGATGTAGAGTACGGTTTAGCGCTGATTGGATTCCACTCTTACAACAACATTCCCAACATAGATAAGGGTTCGAATAAATTTTACTACTTCGATGGTAACAATAAAGAAAACGTAATTGAAATTCCGACCGGGTCCTATGAAATTAGCGACATTGAAACCTACATTAACGAACATCTGCCAAAAAATAAGGAAGAGAAGAATACGATCCCAAAGTTAATAGAGGAGATATCAATCAAACCCAACAATAATACGATAAAGTGTGAAATCTACAGCCCCGTATACGGGGTAAACTTTAAACAACACTCGGACAGTATCGGAAAATTATTGGGGTTTTCACAGAAAATTTTGGAGCCCAATATTATGCATTCCTCAGATTTACCCGTGGATATAATAAAAGTGCGAACGATACATGTAGATAGTAACATAACGTCTGGAGCGTTCTACAACGACAGACCTTCGCACACAATTTACGAGTTTGCCTTGTCCGTCGATCCGGGGTACGCCATCGACGAAACTCCTAAATATCTAACGTACTTGCCAGTAAACAAACGACAAATCTACAACATTACCCTACAGGTTCTGGATCAAAACTTTGAGTTGGTTAATTTCCGAGGTGAAGAAATCATCATTAGATTGGAACTTAAAAAATTAACGTAATGTTGATTTTCAACTCAATCGGAGACGCTG